GCAGAACTGAGGCACTGTTACAGCTGTCAAAAGTGACCGATACTCAAAAGCCAGAGGGTTCTCGCAACGGAGCCATTTCTTTGACGTCGCTACGATCTGCATTCTCCACATTGTCTCTATCATCCATTCAGACACAGAATTCGGCTGTACGAAGAGAGGTAGTCATATTTATCTGACTATATTTACTGAGCACACGCTATCATAGATGCCGTAAACAATCATGAATCAGGTTACTAGAAAAAGTGTTGAAGAAAGAGGAAGTTGTAAAACGATAAGGTCCTGCAAAAAGGAACGATAACAAAATTAAGGAAGCAATAATGAAGTAAAAACGTGTATTACCCAAAAAAGACGGAACTTCGAATAGGTCCGCACCTCCCTCTTCTCCCAGAGCTAGGCGCGGTGGGTCTACGCCACATCATAGATGCTTAGCTGCTCCCCTCATCCGGATAATGCCCGAAACGGCGTGGAAGCTCGGGCATACTTTGTACGGCAAAATGGTTATAGTGTCTGAACCTAGCTGTGGCAAGACGTGTCAGACGGGTGGACTGTAGCCGAGGAGCGGCCGCTTTTTCTTGCGATAATTGCGAGGCGAAAAATCTCACCATTGGCAGAAGGCGCGGCCACTGCTGGACTCCAATCCATCCCTGGCACGCTCGCCTTATACAGTTTCATGCATTTGACGAAGAGGCGTACATATACTGCCCAAAGCTCCGAAAAAAAAATGCAGCAAGTACAAGCTATGGCCAGTCGCGCCGCCGCTTGTGTCCCTCTCCCTCAATTACCTTTTCCCCTTCTGTTGCAGTGAAATCGCAGTCTATAATATTGTGTGAAGTGAGTTTCCCCTGACATCTTCAACTGAAGGCCAGTCTGATCGCCTGGCTTCGCCCAGAACTATTTTTTTCTTGGAAATTTCAAAATTTACCGATTTATTTACAGTATGCACCCCCCCCACCCAGACAGACAGACGTGTCCGTTCATATATAGTAGTACAATGCAACCTCTTCAATAAAAAAACTGGCATTGCATTGCTTCAGATTCATATTTGATAAATTCAAATGTAAGCCAACGCTGACAAGCCGCCGCTATCACTGAAGTCAGTCGAGGCGTGTCAGCGCGGGTGGGTATGGCGTGACGCCAGCTCATCCTTTATCGATCACTGCGGCTTCGTCCGTTGAGCGAATGGGAGAGGGGCTGTCTTCGCGCCAAAGCCCGACACGCCCCGACTGACTCCAATGATAATGACTACTGAAGAGAGTGCGACAGCCCCTACTGACAGCATTTCGTTCAGAACAACTTTTAGACATGATTGATTGGTGAAAGCCCAAAATGCGTTGAGTCCCAGCCGCTACCGAAGTCCTTGGCAGATTCCACGATTACAAAATGGACAGAGAATTGGGTGGAGACTCGCAACCATTGTGCTTCCTCACTGGCGCACCTCTCGTCACTATCGTTCTGAAAATAGCGGGAACCGAGAAAGCACACGTTTTTTCGTGAGTCTCGACTCGCTTCTCCGCCGAATCAACTATGGAGTTACTCACAGCAAATGTTTTTGTGAGGCTATGTAACAAAAATACTTCTCAATGTCATTTGTTATATTTATTCATTTATTTATCTATTTATTTACTCATTTCTCACTATTATATCCACCCCAAGAGAGCAGACAACCAAAACAAATACAACCGGAACCCGCTTTGCGAATAGCATTGCTCTAAGCTTTCATCACAACAAAATTTGTACCGTCTTTATCAACAAAGTCAGTCGGGGCGTGTCATTAGGCACGCGTTTTCCATCAGCCTATTTTCCATCGATCTTTGCGGCTTCAGTCATTCAATGAGTGTTGGGCAATGGCTGCGCCTACAGCCACGTGCCGCCTGACACGTCCTGCCTCACAGGCTTCCGCTTGGAGACAGAGCCTATGCCGATGCTATGGGGGAGACCTTCGCCCAGTCGGCCTCCATCGTTGGAGCGCTTCTCTATGACAGCCACGCCTTCTGAAATGGCAAAGAAGAGAAGCGAGCTTACGACGAACGCACAATGGTTGGCTCGCCACGCCCATAGCATCAACATGGACTATGCCTTGAAGGGGCTGCGAACCTCGTTTTGACCCAGAAACTTTGAAGAGACTATTGGGCCACTAACCCGTCTCTCATTTAGAAGCAACCAGTGTCTTTATAATAAAATTTCAGAAACTCTCTACGAGATGCGAAATGATGACCAGTTACGTGCATCGTCAAGCCAGTAACATGCTTCAAGAGCTATGCATGGAATCTTATGGAAAGACAGCGGAAAAGAAGCTGGAACTGTTCATGCAGGCTACATTTAACGCTTTCAATACGTCACGTAAAACACTTGTGTCCGATAGCAGAACAGGTGAGGACCTACTGCTTCATATGCTTTTCTAAACTTTTACCAAGCACTACAATGATTTCTGTATGTTAAGCATGGGCAGCGGAGAGCAAGGCGGCTGCATTCGATGAATTTATGCGTCCTATGAGCCTTGGTCTTGATATGATAGCATTTTCAGTATCGATTCCTTCCAGATCGATATCTGTAAATTATACGCCAGGTGCGTAAAATTTGCATTTTAACGCGGTAGAATTACTTCAATATTTTATTTAGAATGGATCAGAAAGGAATTCGATACCTTTCTGAAACCGCCACCATCAAGTTGCTGCACAGGCATCACTGGAAGATCTGGTACACTGTACAAGTTGTACCGGGTAAGTTTGTCAAATCTTATAGTCCGAAAGAGGCGATGCGATTGGAGGGCATGACAAGGCTCTAATAACGAATAGTTTCGAGCTAAGGCTGTCCATACTTTGCGGCAGCGTCCACCAGCGACCATCAGCGTTTCGAGCTTCAATCAGCCCCAGCGACTGGAAAAGTATAGATATTGATCTAGCGAACGGCAGCGTCTACCAGCGTCTACCAGCGTCCACCAGCGTCCGCCAGCGACCATCAGCGTCTCGAGGGACTAGGAAAGTATGGATATCGATCTAGCGTCTACCAGCGTCCACCAGCGACCAGGAGTAGAGAGTATGAGAAAGTAGGAGGGATGAGACAGCTGGATTAGGCGTCGTGAAATTGTGGCGTGTGCAAGCCGCACCGTACTATACACAATGCCGTACTCGTGGTTGCTGGTTGTCGCTGATGATCGCTGGTGGACGCTGCGGCAAGTATGATCGCAGCCTGACTGATTTACCGCTGAAGAACAAAGCAGATGGTGCCGTCGAAAACGCTCTCAATATAACACACGCTCCTTTTAGTCACAGACTTTGAGTGTTGGACAAGCACAGAAAGTAGCGAGAATTGGAGAGACGGTGGGCGGCGCGAGCGAGAGACTTGAGACAAACGATGAGAGACCGTAACGAAGAGTGAGAACCACCAATGTTAGCTGCACCAACTACACATGAACTCGGTGCATTAGTTGGAAATCGAATGAACCGTCTCTGAACCACCCATACGAAGAGCAACGCTGTTGGCTACGTACAAATATGACCATAAAGACAATCTGTACGTTCACCTCCGTGGATCCTGGTCTTCTTCAGGTGCGAGGTCCGCAGCTGCTGTGGTGCATCACCTTCTCCGCTGAAAAGTGCACGGAAACGGGGTTGGAGGGCAATGTTACCCGACCGCGATATCCTTACCCTCCCCCGCGCTGCCGCACGCTCAGCCACACGCCTAACCACAGCCAAACCGTTACTTGACTGCGTCCTCTCTTTTTTGGCTGTTCTCTACCATTGAGCGCTGTTTTGCTGCTATCACTTCTCTCCTGCCCATCCCCGTACTTTCTAACAGAAAGTGGCACGCTACTGCAGCTGCGGAACCATTCCTCTCCCACACGGCAAAGACCGTCCTCGGAGGAAAGTGTGCAGTTTGCATTCAAAATGAACCTCCATGCCCTCGATAATTTCTAGTAAGTCCCTATTACCGTAACTTGGCGTGAAACTTGGCCGGGTACCAATTGTCTCCAAGATACCATCTCAACTAACCAAATGCGGTGGAAATCAGAATAGATCAATCAGAATTAGACCGTGGCCAATCAATAATATCAGTAAATGATCAGAACAATTTTCAGATGAAGATTGAAGAAAAAGAGCCGCTATCAGGGAAGAACATGCTGAAAAACCTTCGGGCATCGAAGCGCTTCAACTCGTATGCGATTGCTCTCTTCCAAGAAGGAATTCATGATGAACTTGCTGAACGACAAATACGTCGGTTACTTAGATTAGTTACCAATCAGATGTTTTCTGTTTATCCTCAAATTAACCAAAGTGTATTGTTATAGTCTAGTCTTTCATCTAGAAAAATGAGCATTCATTATTCTATCAGAGCTGTTATAAAGTATATTCCCTTCAATATACTCATAATAAATGAAATAATATTGTTGTAGTCGATGCATTTGAAATAGTAGCAGTGTTCTGAAGCCCGCGCTGTTCACTTTTACAACTTCACCTTTCAAAGTTTGAGCCAGTATGTCGACTGAAAGACAAACGGTACACTTTCCACGGTAGAAACTGGTCCTTTGGCGTTGTGAGGCTCAGCGGACCGCAACTGCAGTAGCGTGCCACTATCTCCGCTTGATATTGCGCGGGAACGGGGCTGGATGGTAATGATACACGTGCCCATTCCCTTACTCCGCCCGCGCTGCCGCACGGCCAGCCACACGCCTCAACCATAGCCAAACGCGCTACATGTCTGCACCCTCTCACTTCTGTTTCCTCTCTACTGTAGAATGCGTGTTTCGGTCGTCGGTCCGGTATCCGCGCTAGCACTGCACACTGAGGAAAGAGGGGCCAACTATGGGGGCAACACCCGGGTGTCACTGCCCTCTAGCCGCGTTCCCGTGCCTGTAGCTGAGGACCAATTCTCTTCGCACTCGGAGAGGACTGTCCTCAAAGGTGGGTGTTCTGTTTATCTTTGATCAAAGGATTTATTTGAGTTATGACGAGAGCGTGACCTCCTAAACACGAATATCATCACAATATTCACTTGGTGCTAAAGCGCTTGGAGCCAGAGCTGGAATACTCTACCACTGAATCCCTTGTTTCCAGAACGGGTTTACCCTTAGCATAAGAACATAGCACCGACTGTGAGCGAAAAGCCTGCCACCTGCTCTGCTGTGCTGTGCTTCGCGCCAAGCCGATTCAATAGTCATATACAAGGCGGCAAACCTTTCCGGTGCAAAGTGCGAGCTAAATGTACTCCCGCCAACGCATTCTGATAGTTATCCCGCTAATTCTCGGAAGTGAAGCTTTGCAGGATAACCCTGCTCTTTATCTTTGCCAACTACAACAGATTACTGGAAACAGTAGAAAGATGTCCGATTTATTCCATTTTTGAGTGAAACCTTCACTCAACAGAATAGTGTTGGTTTATTACCTTCTTACAGGCTAGCAAAAGTCCAACCTGTGCAACTAGGTTTTCTTTGCCAATCAAATTTCAGCTCCTTATTAAGCTCCACTTTCATCATACTGACTTCATTTGGTTAATGAGTACTCTATTAGGTTTAAGGTACTGACTCCACACTATTACATAGAAGGTAAATAAATAATGAAATATATAAATAAATAAATAAATTGCCGGGCGGCTACTGAGCGAATGATCAGTATTAAAAATAATGGTCGATAACAAGTGATAATGATTAATAGGGCTTGATAAATATTACTGAAGAAGTGTTTGGGAATGTGGCATCCTGAACTTTTATTTTATCATATCGAATAACCAAACGACTA